AATTTATAAAAATATATATTTATAGCGATAAATCCGAAACGGTACACGAAAAATTCTGGTATCCAGTACGTGCCGTTCTAGTAGCAAAATCGATACGCATACCGGTACGATATTGACTACTTTGATTAAAATTGTTCACCTTGTGGATAACATATTCGAAACTTGTGGATAACATATTCGAAACTCATAGATCTCATTTTTTTTCTTCTATTACTTAACTAATATATATAATTAATTTCAATTTGGTCAAAAAAAATCTGTGTTTAAGAAAACATTATTTGCATTTTTTAATTAATTTATATAAAAAAATAAAAATTGACTTTAAATTTATTCTAGTTAACTAAAATCATTTAAGTGGTATTGGTGTTTAAAATAATATTATACTTTTACATTTTTTTTATAGAAATTTATTACAAAACAATGCATTTAATGTACTATAACCTATGCTCTTGGGGCACATGTTAGATAAATTCTTAATTTTATTCCTTAAACTTCTAATTTTAAATACTTTTAGTTTTTAAATCATTTTTTACACCTTTTTAATCTTCTTATTAGTTAGTTCTGTTGATAAGATATTTGAGTTGAGAGAAGTGGAGAGGAGAAGAAGGAAGAGAAATATTTTTTAACTAATCAAATTATAATTTTCAAAAAACATTATAATTTAATTAGTTAAAAAATTTTACCTCCCTTCCTCTCCTTTCTTTTTTATTTTCCTCAACGTAAACATATGGTAAGTCTCTATATATTTACATTTTTAATCCCTAAACTTATAATATATGTATATTTTTATGCACATTTTTAGTCCCTAAATTTATAAATTTAGATACTAAAAAAATGTACATTTATATACAGACCTAATAGATTAACTGATGAAAAAAATTAAAAAAATACATTTTTTAAGGTTAAATACTAAAAAAATACAAAAAATAACTTAAAGACTAAAAATGTTTAAAATAAAAAGTTTAAATACTAAAATTTACATTTAATCAAATTAATGACCCGTTTGGTATAACAATTTGAAAGTAACAGCTAATAGTTTTGCTCAAACCATTAAAAATAAGTATTTGGTAAACTTATTTATTTCGAAACAATTTCAAATTAGATATTTGATAAAATTTTTTATGTAACGGGTTGAAACTAGTGGATAACAGTTAAGGTTTAAATCGCTAACAATTGAAAAGGCTATTTAAGGTAATTTTTTATACTAAACTGTTAACGAATTGAAATTTATTAATTTGATTAATAAACTTATTTTTAAAAATTATTTAATTTTATCCACAAATTTTAATTAATATTTATCTAATTAATTTTAGCTTTATTTTTTGTCTTTCATAGTATTAAATAATTATTATATATATTTGCATTAATTTATTATAAAAATATATTAATTTAATAAATAAAATTTTCTAATCAGATGAAAAAATTAAAATTTTTTGTATTTTATTTAAAATTAATATAATTTTTTCTTTATTAAAAATAAAAATAAGTATATAATTATACTATTATAATTTATTTATTATTATTATTTTAAAAAATTAAAAAAACACTTAATTGTTTTTAAATGTTCTTTTCGATCACTTAATTTCAAATAACAACTACTAACTATTATATAACTAAACAGTTATATTAATCGAATTTACTATTTACTATTCACTATCCATTTTTCATTATTTGCCATTCCTCATCTGCCATCTGTCATCCACTAACTGCTATCCATTACTTGTTATCTATCAAATTTTAATCACTATACTAAATAAGCCCTAAATATATATATGTATTATTAACTATATGATTTAGTAGTATAGTTGTCTAATTGTTTATGCCTTTAACTACAACAGCTCTAAGGTTAAAATATGCGTTCGTGCTCTAGAGAAATGTGTAAAGAATTATGGAATCACAAATAAAAAAAAAAAAGAAGAAGTTAAATGTTAGTTTTAATCCTTCAATTTTAAAATTTTACATAGTATTAGATTTTTAATTAATTTATGTATTTTTTTAATCTTTTAATTTTTAAAATTATATAATTTCGACCCTTCTTCCATAAGTTAAATGAGTTAAATCTGACGCAGGCCATTAAAAACTACGACGGGAAAATTTTTTTTTTCTTTGAGATCGTATTGACACAACATTAACTAACTTGTGTGAATAAAAATAAGACCAAGTCAAATAATTTCTAAAACATTATTAGTAAGTGTCAACAAACTCAAATAGTGCAAGTGATTATCTTCTTTCACAAAAATATAAGGTCTGAAATTTGAATCACATGATATGAGATAAAATTGAATAAATGATAGAAAATGATTGCCTCCATTGTGCAATTAAAAAAAAAAGAAGACATTATTGATAGGTCCCACAAAATATAATTATGTTTTTTACTTTTTAATTCTTTTTATTTTTAATTAAAATTACAAAACTATCCTAATCTCATCCTCTTCCCCTGCCTCTGAATCCTTTCTTCTCTTCTCTCTCTCTCCATTCTCTTCTCAAGCCATCACATAAGCATAATTTATCTCTTTATTCTCTTAGTCTTAAAGAGTTTGTTCTTGTTTGCTTTACTTTCTTCAATTGTTTTAAGCACAAATTTCTCTCTTTCCAAAACAAAATGCTTTATATAACACATTAAATATGCAAGATTTACCCATGAGCGGGTGAATGAGTTGGCAGGGGACTCTTTCAGCTTAACCAGAGGTTTTGGTTTCAAGCCCTAGGAATGTAGCTCCATTAAAACTTATGAGGGAGAGCTTTGCCACTCGTTGGGTCCTACCCGACTCAAATCCAGATTAGTCGATGACCCAGTGGGCTTTTGGATACCGAGTGATCCAAACCAAAAAAATTATGCAAGATTTGATTTACACTTTGGATTGTTTCGCTTTCTCTATTTCACTCGTTGATTCTTGAAGATGGCAAGGCAATGGAAAACTTGAATCAAGTAATCCTGTCAAAAAGACTACAACCACAAAAATGAAAAAATTAGAGAAATTGCCATCTCAGAAACATAGTGCGAAGGTGATGGGTCCAAAGAAACCAAAATCCAATTGAAGTTTGTCGAAACCCAATGATGGGTGTGTCACCGAACCCAGATCTGGGTTCTTTAGCACCCGATATCGCTAAACCCAGATCTGGCTTCCTTAGAACCTGGTGCTGGGTTCATCAAAACCCAGTCCAACCAGATTCAGATGAACCCAGATCTAGGTTCCTTCAAACCCTATGCTGGGTTCTTTGGAACCCAGTCCAACTGGTTTCAAATGAACCCAGTGCTAAATTCTTTAACTTCGTTCATTTGGATTCATTAGGTTTTGAAAGGGATGGATCAAGCAAAATAAATCTAGGAGATTTTGGGGTGAATTTAAGCTTATTTTTATGTTTGGTTGATGTTGGGAATGGGTCCAACATTCAACCTAGGCCATATGTAATAGGCTCAGTTGTCTATCCCTAAGCCAAAAATGGAAATATATCCATATAGCAGTCCAGACATGCCCACGTGGTGCGTACAAGTGGACCAATCAAATACTTACACGTATGGCCTCATATCATCACCCGGGACTATAAATACCCCCACCTACCTCTGCTCAAGGTAATAACTCCATTTCATTTCTCTCTCTACAATTACTCTTGAGAGCTTATCTCTCTAGATTATTAAGTATTGTTAACTTGAGCGTCGGAGTGTTCTCTTGGAAGAAATATCCTCGGGTTTTTCAGATGTGGTTAAATATCCTTTTTGGTCCCTCTACTATTGGAAAAAGACTTTTTTTGGTCCCTATACCAAAAAAATCCCCTTTTAGTCCCTAAATTTCAAAATTTAGCCCCTTTTTAGTCATTCCGTTAGTCAAATGATGGGGTGGCACTATAATCTGTTAAATATTTTGTCTTTTTTCTTTTCGTTGTTGATGTGTTATTACATGTTAATCAATATAATGCCACGTGGAAAAAAATTGATGACGTGGACCAAAAAATTTTTTTTTCTCCCCAAAAATATTTGAAAAATACAATGCTTATAAAAATAATAATGTGAACGGAAGAAATATTAAATTATTATAATACTTTTAATTTTATTGGATTCATTTAATATATAGTATTTACTTTTTATTTCCTTTGATTAAATTTAATAATTTTAATTTCATTTTTTTTCAATTCCCTCTCTGAATATTAACTTCCTTTTTTCAAAATTCTTATTTTTATTCATAATCAAAACTTAACATCTAAGATTCATAAGATATAATTGAGAATTTATTAAAATATTTTCATTGATAAAAATAAAAGTTAATTACTAAGTGATTTATCATTTCGGTAAACTCTAACTTCTTATCTGCAAAATAGATCATTCTCTTCACAGTCAAACCCAAAACTTTGTGTCTCTAATTCAAAATTGCATATGAAACTTTGGTTTCATTAGATAGATACATTCAAAAAAAAAAAAAAAAAAAAAAGAAAAGAAAAAAGAGAGGGTAGGAACCTAGATCTAGGTTCCACGAGAAACCCAAGTTCTAGGTTTCGCAACTCTAACTTCTTCTCTGCAAAATAGATCATTCTCTTCATTGTCAAACCCAGAACTTTGTGTCTCTAATTCAAAACTAAATGTGAAACTTTGGTTTCATTAGATAGATACATTCAAAATAAAAAAAAAAATGAAAAAAAAGAGGGTAGAAATCCAGATCTGGGTTCCACGAGAAACCTAGGTTCTTGGTTTTGTACAAAACCCAGATCTGGGCTTCTCGTGGGTTCCACGGGGAACACAAACCTGGGTTCCATGAGGAACCCAAAACCTGGGTTCCCCGAGGGTTTCTGGGTTCCTCGAGGAAGCTAGGATGATGAAAAGGATGGCAAAGAGGGGTGAAGATGAGTCGAGGATGAGGAGGAGGATAAGGTGAGGAGAAAGAAGAAGATGAAAGAAATTAAAGTTAATTATGTTTACGGAGAAGACAAGGATAGAAATGGGAAATGAAAAAACCAAAAGAAAATGATGATTTTTTTTAAAAAATATATTACAACCTATTAATTATATGGAAAATTTTTTTGTCCACATCATCAATTTTTTTTTTCACGTGGCATTTTATTGATTAACGTGTAATAACACGTCAACAATGAAAAGAAAAAAGACAAAATATTTAATAGATTATAGTGCCACCCTGTCACTTAACTAACAGAAGGACCAAAAAGGGATCCGATTTTGAAATTTAAGGACTAAAAAGGGGATTTTTTTTGGTACAGGGGCCAAAAAAGAGCTTTTTCCAATAGTAGGGGGACAAAAAAGGGTATTTAACCTTTAGATGTTGAAGCAATTGAGGATCTCTACAGTGTAGGTTTGTAAAGCTGCCCAAACATTTTGGCGCTATTTGTGGGAAATTTACAAAAAGCAATGTAGCTTAATCAGTGAGGGATAAACATGGTGCATACTTTCATAATAAGTCAACCCCTCTGATCGATAGAGAGGACGATCAAAGCAATGCTCAGGTCCCAGAATCTGATCCCAATGACTTTCAACTAATGCTTAAAAACCTTTTTGTAAGGGGAGCAGAGGGGGAACATCTAAGTAGTTTTGATGATGAACGAACGCCAACCGGGTATGCAACTTAACCTGAGGAACAATTTCAAATCCCAAGGTTTGCACGGCGAAGACATTCCATTCATGATGCGTAGTAGCCTAGTAGGCCCACGTAGTCAAACTGAACATCAAAGTTAAAGGAAAAGACCAAAGTTCTAGAGATGGCTATAGGGAGGATACTCTCTTGTTTGATCCCTGATGATCCGTTGATACCCTTGCTCAATAAGGGTGGCCATCCGACGAAGGTTGTTGCCTGTGATTCCCCCACCTTAAGCAATGTGGTTGTACCCACCAAACCCAAAGGAAGTGGGAAGTTGAACCTTGAACCCAGCTCATCAAAGCTCAATGAAGAATTACTGAAGAAGAATAACGAGCTTGAAAAGCAACTCGAGAGTATACAAAAATCCATCGACAAGCTGAAGATTCCAAGGTCGCGTCAACAAGTACTTGACTTGGATAGTGCCCCCCTAAGCATATCCATCACAACAGAACCTTATCAAGAAAGATTCAAGATTCCCCACTTGGAAACGTATGATGGCTCCAATGATCTAGATGAACACTTGCATACTTACCAAGCCATCATGAAGATACAAAGTGCAATAGACGCCATCATGTGCAAAGTTTTTCCAACCACATTGAAGTCGACGGCTAGAAGGTGGTATCACAAGCTCCCATGGCAATCCGTCAATTATTTTCCTCAGCTTGTTACCTTGTTTTCCAATAAGTTCGCGAGCCAACGGGAGATAAAGCACACAGCCATTGAGTTAATGCAAGTTCACCAGAAGGAAGGAGAGTCCTTAAGGGACTACATGTAGTGATTCAATAAGGCCACCTTGGACATTGACAATGTCCCTGACACTATCTGCTTATCCACCTTGCTACATGGCCTCAGACCTGGTCGGTTCCTCGACGACCTACTAGAAAATCCACCAAAGTCATGGAATGAAGTAAATGACAGGTCAGCAAGCTTCATCTTGTCAAAAGACTTTCAGTCATCTAAACAGCGAGTTGATGATAAACAAAAAAAAGACCACAAACAACCAGAAGGAAAAGAGGAGAAGAAAAAGCAAAAAATTGTTGATCACTGAGGAAAACCACCTAGTTTTCCAAAATATGCAAATTACATCCCACTAGGCCCGTCGAGGTCTCAAATCCTAGCACAGATTCAGCATTGGATTAAGAGGCCACCCCCTATTCTTCATGACTCACATTGAGTAGACAGAGGTAAATATTGTGATTATCATCGTGGATATGGCCACAATATAGACAATTGCTAGAGTTTGAAGGACGACTTGGAATTTTTAACTTGCAATGGAAAACTGGAAGAATATATCCAGAAATCCTACACCCAGTAGCCTAGCCAAACCCCCTATGTACAAGATTACAGTCGACCTCACAGACAAGGGTACTAGGTCGACAGTTATCAGAACCCGTACCAAGGGAATCAATACTCTTCTGAGCCCGACAAAATATACTGAGGATGCCAATCTAATAGGCGAGGACAAAGGTAGAGGACTACGGCCTAGAATCAAAAGAACAATAGAGAGTAGGTTACACTGGAATACCTTCACCCTCAGGCATAATAAATATGATTTCAAGTGGCGTGCATTCAGGAGGCTAAAGCGCCCGAGGTCATAAAGCCTATGCTCATCAGGTAATGACTGTGAACAAATATAGGCCCCTAAAACAACCATTTGAGCAAATGAAATGGGAAAACACTCCCATTACGTTCAGTCCTGCTGATTACAAATGATCAGAGGGAGAATATGATGTTATGATGCCTTACGCTGACCTCTTTGTGGCAACAGTCCACATAGGCAATCATAATGTTAATAAAGTATTCATCGATACGAGTAGCTCTCCAGACATGTTATATTGGAGCTGCTTCCAAAAGATGCAGCTAAACCCAACTTCTTTGAAGAAATATGAAGCCAATATATGAGCTTGACAATCAGCCCGTCCTTGTTGAAGGAATAATCACTCTTCCCATCTATGTGGGTACTGAGCCACGGTTCAGGATGGCCTCAGTGAGCTTCTTAGTAGTCAATATGGAATCAGCTTTTAATGCTATAATAGGGAGAGCTACTTTTTGTGAATTGAAGGCTGTCATTTCCCAACCACATCTCTGCATGAAATTCCCAACTCCTTAGGGGATAGGAGTACTTAAGGGAAACTAGAAAATGGCTAGAACGTGCTATCAAGATACATTCAAGAAAGTCGAGCTCGCTACGGTGCCAAAGGCCTCTTCATCTCAGGTTCCCAGGCCGAGCCAGCCAGGCCTACAAATCATGAGTATATCTGACATAGATCACCAACCAGAAAATATAGAGCAAAAGGCTGAACCATTAGAACCGGTGGAAACAGTTCCTTTAAACCCTAATGAACCAGAAAAAATAATGAAGATTGGAACCAAACTCACAGTGAAAGAAAGAACCGAGCTTATGGAATTTTTGAAGACCAACGAGGATGTTTTCGCATGAACAATAGATGAAATGCTTAGGATTCCAATGGAATTCGCAGTCTATAAGCTTAGTACAGACCACACAAGAAAGCCAATGGTTCAAAAGTGTCGCCTTTTTGGCCTTAAAAAGCAAGCCACTATAGATGAAGAAATACAGAAGCTATTACAGGTAGGCTTCATCAGGCGGGTTGAATATTTGCAATGGCTATCTAACCCTGTGCTCGTGAAAAAGCCTAGTGGCAAGTGGAGAATGTGCATTAACTTAAGGAACTTGAATAAAGCGTGTCCCAAAGACCTACACCCTTTGCCTAATGTTGAGAAATTAGTAGAGCATGCAGCCGGTCATGAGCACATAAGCTTTCTCGATGCCAGTTTAGGATACCATCAAGTTTAGCTATGTTTCAACGACCAAGAGAAAACGACGTTTTATGCGGGCGATGCTATATATTGCTACGTAATGATGTTGTTTAGATTGAAAAATGCAGGGGCCACATATCAAAAATTAGTTCAGGTCATCTTTAAGCCTCCGATCGACAAAAATAATGAAGTGTATGTTGATGATATGATTGTTACTAGTTTACGTGCTGAAGATCATATTGACGATCTCAATGAAACATTTCAGAACCTACACTGAGCACAGATGAAGTTAAACCCCTTAAAGTGTATGTTTGTTGTGGAATCAGGCAACTTTCTAGGATATGTGGTATCTAAGAAAGGAATTAAAGTGAATCTGGACAAGGTTCAGGCCATGCAGCAGATGAAGCCTCCTAAAACAGTAAAAGATGTGTAACGTCTAACTAGTTGCTTCGCTACTCTGTATAGATTCATTGCTAGATTGGCAGAAAGTTGTCTCCCATTTTTTAAAACTTTGAGAGAGCCCAAAAACTTCCAATGGATTGACGAATGTCAATAGGCTTTTGACGAACTCAAACAATACCTAGCATCACCACCCTTGCTCTTTAAACTTGTTGAATGAGAGAAGCTATACTTGAACCTGGGAATTACAAATGAGGCAGTCAGCTCGATTTTGCTAAGGGAACAAGATAAGCACCAAAAACCCATCTGTTATACAAGCAAGGTCTTACAGGGTGCAGAAAGGAACTACCAAATTGCTGAAAAAAGCTACTTTTGCCCTTGTTTGCATCTCTCAAAAGCTAAGGGCCTATTTTTAGCCCACCAAATTATTGTTTTCACTGACCTACCACTGAGGAAGATATTATAGAAACTTGAACTTTCTGGTAAACTAATCGGATGAGTAGTTGAGCTAAGTGGGTACGACCTCAAATTTGAACCATATATGACCATAAAGGGTCAAGCCTTGGTAGATTTCTTAGTAGAATGCCATCCAATCGCTCTTGAAGGAATTACAGCCTCACACCTTGTATGGGTGTTGTACGTAAATGGGGCTGCAAGTAGAGGGATCAGGGGCAGGAGCAGTGTTGATAGGTCTAGATGGATTTAAAACTGAGCATGCTTTAAGATTCAGATTTCAGGCCACCAATAATGCTGCTGAATATGAAGCGCTCATTTACGGTTTGAAAGTAGCATTGGAGCTGAAAGCACAAAACATAAGAGTCTTTAGTGACTCCCAGCTTGTTATAAATCAAGTGAGTCAGAGTTGTGATATCAAAGATCCTTAGCTCGGTCATTATGCCTCTATGGTCAACAGGTTAAAATTAGGCTTTGTTTCGTTCTATATTGACAAGATACCAAGGGTAGACAATAAGCGAGCTGATGAATTATCAAAGTTAGCCTCGTCACAAGACATCAATCCCAAAGGACAACATTTATTAAGATACTTGATGCACTAAGCTATGCCGACCCCGCCACTAAATGCCTAGTGTTAAGCACGGATCCCTCATCACCGAGTTGGATCACACCTCTAATTAATTATTTGCAAAATGGTGAATTGCCTAAGAACCCATTTGATGCTCGACTGATCAGGTGTAGGGTTACTCATTTCACCTTAATTGATGATCAATTATATAAACGAGCAGCTTCAATGCCCCTATTACGTTGCCTAACTTCTTATGAAGCTGAATATGTTGTAAGAGAAGTCCACGAAGGAGTGTGTGGCATGCACATGGGTGGAAAAAAATTAGCTCGGAAACTTCTAAGGCATGGATATTATTGGCCTACTATGGTGGAAGATGTACAAAACTATATCAAAAAGTATCCAACCTGCAGTTTAACATTGACTACATTCACATGCCAAGTACCCGAGCCTGTCGTGAAATTTGTACATAAACTTCATGTTTGACTTTAAGTTAAACATGAATATCTCCTTTGATACTGGAGAAATGCAGTCATCTCTCTTGTCACCTTGGCCTTTTGCCTAATGGGGAGTGGATTTGCTCGATCCCTTCGTTAAAGGCAAAAAATGTTGTACGCATCTAATCATTGTTGTGAATTACTTCACCAAGTGGACAAAAGCCAAGCCATTATCCACAACAACTGAAAAGAAGATAGAAGAATTTTTATTCAATTTCATTTTATACAGGTATTCTTCAGTGGGTTAAACCATATACATTGTGTGCACACATACTATGTGGCTTAGCCAATTCATTTATATGCAGGTTCGGTATTCTTAAGCGAATCATCGCTAATAACGGTCCTTAGTTTCTAGCTATAGCACTCAGGTCAGTCTATGATGATCATGGCATTGAACTCTCTCTAACATCCATTTACACTCCACAGTCAAATGGACAGGTAGAGTCAGGTAATAAAATTATCTTGCGTGGCCTTAAGGCATGCGTCCTAGCCACAGACTCCAATTGGGTTGATGAGCTCAACAAAGTACTATGGTCGTGTCGTACCACACCCAGCTCAGCCACCAAAGAGACCCCATTCTCCCTTGCCTATAGAGCTGAGGCCGTAATCCCTGTGGAAATTGACTTGTCGCCTAATAGACCTGCTCGGTGTAATGATTCTAATAACAAGGAACTCCTAAGAGAAAACCTAGACCTCGTAGAAGAGGTTAGGGAGATATCTCAGATGAAAAACATGGCTTATCAAAGTCGTGTTGCTAGATTTTACAATAAACGAGTGCATGCTTGTCAATTTCAGGTCGATGACTTGGTTTTACGCAAGGCTGGGCTTACTAATGCTTACTCACGTATGGGCAAGCTTGCTCCTAACTAAAAGGGTCTTGACATGGTAATTCATGTTAAATGACCTAGGTCTTATTTGTTAGTAGATTCACAAGGTCATCAACTACCATTCACTTGGAATATAGATAACCTTAGGAAATATTACAGTTAGTTTGTATTGTTATCTAGCAAATGTAAGGTGTATACACAATTCAATGAATACAAAAATTTCATAGAGAATTGTCCAAATTGTATCCCTTTCCAAAAATGTATACATGGCAATACAGGAGACAATGATAAAATTGTTCAAAATGATCAACTAACCAACACAAAAAATACAAAAGAAAAAGCCTAAAACCCTAGTCATCCGTCAAATCCATGGGGATGGATGCATCAGCACGAGCTGGAGAAGGATGAGCTGGAGTGGTGACAGCCTGAGACATTGGAGGAGTGCTGGAGGGTTCAACTTCTGCCTCGGGTGCTCCAGCCACCCACGCGTCGAAGCTTGGCAAACCCTCCAAGTCCTCTCTTTCTTCTATAACAGAAAAAGGCCACACAGGCACTTCATCTTCATTCAGCTCCCACCTCAATCACACCATCATATCAACAAGAAAGGCAAGACTCTTGCCTTGCTCATCAACTTCTTGTCCTTCGAAGAAGGCTAGCTCGTTAATCGAGAAGTCAGGCCGATGCTTTAATACCTTCCCATGGATATCATTGTAGATTTCTATTGTGGTATTCATTGAGGCGACGACTACGGTATCTTGAAACATGTCAGAGTCAACCAGCCACTCCACCCCTTGAGCTCAGGCAATACTTATAGAGCGTTGGCAACACCTCTTGGTCTGGTTTAAGGTCTCTTCAACACTGGCAAGATTCTGGTTTGCCGCAGCCAACCGTTACCTTAAGGAGTTCAGCTCATTAAGGGCCTCATCCCTCTTAGCCTTTGCCTTTTGTGTACATTCCTCAGCACGACTGATCTATCCTTGGTAGCCTAGATCCCACTTTCCCTCTTTGCTTCAGCCTTTTTCAACTCCTCCTTCAGCTTGTTTATTTTATTCACCAACTTGTCAGCTCAGCTCTCAGCTGACGCAGCTCTGTTGACCATCTTGGAGCTCTGCAAGTGGTTGACCTGTCACGCCTCAGACCCCCAATCCGGGGACGCGACAGACGCCGTGCACGCGTGAGTAGGTCCCACAAATGCACAAAGCTCGAAACTTTTCCAATTCACAATCTGATACCATCAAAATCTGAAGATCAAATCTTTTAAAATTTACTCTGATATCATAAATCTCCAAATACACTCTAGTTTACAAAATCATGATTTATTTCTAAAATCTATATCAATCTCGAAATGGCTAGCCTTCTAACTCGTCACTTCCCATGGTTTCCCCGTCCTCGGTTTTGCTTCCTGAAATGGTGGACAAGGAAAACTATGAGATAAACTCAGTAAGTAAATATGGGGTGCCCCCTTATTAAACTTATAGCATGCCAACAAGTGCAATCACGAAAAATGGATACAATATGGGAACGAAATAGATGTCTCCTCTATAGGTCATGGCCAATGTTATAAACCTCCCACTGGCAGGCTACAATATTTGCTGGTGTATAACCCCCACTAATAGGGTTGAACGAACCGGTTCTATCAATAACATGTCGACATGTGCTAGCGTTTAACCCCCACTAGCAGG